AGTTCCAGGCATCCACTGGGGGTCTTGGAACCTATTGCCAGTGGGTAAGGGGGGACTACTGTAGTAAGTTACCACAACCAGGGAATTGACATTGGCTCAATCCATAGAGCCTATTCAGATTGCACCAGTTTTATATACATTTATTTGTTTGTGTGTTATGCAATTTTATCACATGTGTAGCTTTTTGTAACCACCCCACAATTAAAATCCAGAACTGTGCTATCACCATAAGGCTCTTTTTTGCTACCCCTTTATAGCAATACCCCTCTTCTTCCACCTGCCCCTGCTGTCCACTAATCTGTTTTCCATCTCTATAATTTTTCAAGAATGTTATAAAATGGAATTATATAGTATGTAACCTTTTTAAATTGGTTTTTTTCACTCAGTATATTGTTGAGATCCATCCAAGTTGTTCACTGTATCATTAGTTTCTTCCTTTTTCTTATTGAGTAGTATTTCATGATTTTAATAATGTGCCACAGTTTGTTCACCTGTCAAAAGGACATTTGGATTGTTTCCAGTATTTGGCTATTACAAATAAGGCTATAATGAACATTTGTGTACAGGTTTTTATATGAACATAAGTTTTTATTTTTCTGTGGTATATGCCCAAGAGTGGAAATGCCTGGGTATATGGTAAGTACATGTTTAGTTTTGTAAGAAATTGCTAAATGCTTTTTTAAAGTCTCTGTACCATTTTACATTTCCACTAGATATATATGAGTGATTTGGTTTCTCTGCATCCTTGCCAACATTTTGTGTTATCACTATTTCCTGTTTTGACTCCCTGTTAGGTATATAGTGATATCTCATTATGGTTTTAATTTGTATTTCCCTAATGGCTAGTGATGTTTCATGTGTTTATTTACCATTTATATACCTTCTTCAGTGAAATATCTGTCAATGTCTTTTGCCGAATTTTCTAATCGGATTATTAATTTTTTACTGTTGAATGTGTGTGTGTGTATGTGTGTGTGTATGTGTTTAAAAAAAAATTCACTTGCCCAGGCTGGACTTGAACTCCTAGGCTCAATTGATCATCCTGCCTCAGCTTCCCTGAGTAGCTGTGACTATAGGCATGTGCCAGCATACCTGGCTCCCGCTGATTTTTGAGAATTCTTTATATATTCTAGATACAAGTTCTTTGGCAGATATGTGGTTTATAAATATTTTTTCCTGGTCTTTAGCTTGTCTTTTCATTCTCTTAATACAGGATTTTGCAGAGCAAAAGTTTTTAATTTTGATGAGGTCCAAGTTATTAATTTTTCCCTTTATCGATTGTGTTTTTCTTGTCAAGTATGAAAACCCCTTACCTAGCTATAGGTCCCGAAGGTTTTCTTTTATTTCTTTTTCCTATGCTTTTAAACAAAACATTTTACATTTAAGTTCATCATTCATTTTGTGTTAATTTTTATATTTTTATATCAGGTGAGGTTGAGGTTGAGGTTTTTATTTTATTTTTTTTGTTGTTTTGTTTTGTTTTGCCTTGTTCTGCCTGTAGATGCCTAGCTGCTCCAGCACCATTTGTTGGAAACGAATCACATCCTTTTTTAACTCTATAAAGTGACCTTTTTCTAGTTTAAAGGTTTTTTTTTTTTTTTTTTAATTCAGCTTTTTGGGTATTAGGATCACAACACTTATTTTATCTGCATTTGCTTGGTATACCTTTGCCCATTGTTTTGTTTTCAGTCTTAAAAAACACTTAGATGTTTTAGATGTATCAGTTTACATTACAGAGTTGGGTTTTGTTTCATGATCCAATCTGAAAGTCTTTTTTCTTTTACTCTATAAGTTTAGTCCACTTATATTTATTGATATGAGAGAAATTGATCCAAGTTTTGAAACATAATTTTGTATTTTGCTTTTTATAATTAATAAAAACCTTTTTCTGTGTGGTATGTTAACTTTACGTAGGGCCAATTATTTGTAGATTTATGTGGTTATAAAGATATGTCTTCCTATGTTCCAGGCTAACTAGAATTTTCCTTATGATTCAAGATTTCATGAGTTTGTTTAGCTTTTATCTTTCTCTAGCCAGTGGAGTTAGGCAACTATATTTTTTCATAATACAAAACTTCTTTTCTCCCCCCTTGCCATAGAAACAGGATTCTCTTTATAAATAGTGTATTTCTGAATGATTTCTTTTTAATGTCTGCCTTCTCTCTTTCCTTATTGGAACCAAACTGAGGAATTTCTGCCTGTAGCTGTGCATCTTGTTCTGACTGTTACAAACGTGGGTTTTAGGCTTTATAGTTGGAAAAGTTTACTTTGTTACCTCCTTGTGAGAAATGCAGTTTTCCTTTTCTGCTTCCACTCTTTTGAACTTTCTCCTCTGTGATCTCTGTTGATTTTGAGAGCCCTTGTACATATTTTGCTGGTTGGATTTTAGCTATATCTCAGTTTTACCAGAGGGGAGTTTGCATTTTTGTTTTTGTTTTCTTTGTTGTTTGGATGATTTTTAAGAACAGAAGGGGGAAAATGGAGATTATGCCACTTTTTAAACTAGAAGTTAGTAATAGTATCTTTAATGTCTTCACAAAACAGGTTGCTACATTTTAATAAATTATATTTGATTATTGGGATAGCAAAACCTTTGTGGGGATAACTGGAACATAGATTCCTGAAGTACTTTAGTTCTTTCTCTAAATTTTATTTTAAAAATACAAAAGAATTTAATTTAGCCCTAAAGAATAACAAATTCTGTATGTTCTACCTTTTCAATTCTTGAAGACTTAACACATGGAAATGTGTATTTATTGTTTGATAGCTCATTTTCCCCAGGAGTAGTTCTGATAAAAACCAATAGTTTATTGTCCACAAAAGGAGATTTAGTGAGTTTTATTTTGAAGAGAGTATATTTCAATTGTAGTATTTATACTTTGAAAATTATATGCACTTTTTAAAAAGCATTGACTCACTTAAGAAAATGTACTAATTTCCTATACTACCACTAGTGACCTTTTTCTAG